CTGCTGCCCAGCTCGGTCGCCTTGGGCTTTACCTCTTCTTGTCCCTAAGCAATCACACCTCCTCCAGTGATGGCCTGTCACTAAAAGCTAGTGTTGTCTCATGAGCACACAGCACTGCTCCATGTACTGGGTGTTGAGCACACCTGGTCTCATGCCTGTCCAGCGTTGGCTCCGGGGGAGCTGGTACCTGGAATGGGGCCTTCACCTGAAGTCCACACAGGTAGTAGGGTCTGGTTGCCAGTTTTGCCTGTTTTCAGGGGCTTAGGCCAAGCTGCAGAACTGGGGCTAAGCAGAAGTCCCCAAACCCTGTTTTCTGTGGGACTAACGCAAACCTTTTCAGCTATGACAACTAGCTTGGTCAGCAAAGTAAAAGGAAGCCATCAACATCAATTAAACAAAGCACGAGGCCTGAAAAGAGAGGTTATAAGGGAAGACCATGAATTAAATAATCCACATATAGTATCATAGCTTTATCTTAAAATAGTAGTAGTAGTGATTGATGTAACCAAATGTATTAGATGCTATTTTGCTATAATAGATATATTTTTGTTAAGGTGCTTAGATAATTTGTAAAAACAAAACAGCATTGTCGGAGGAGACTATAAGCTGAAGTAAAAAAGAAACGGGATAGTGTTGAACACCATTCCATAATGGGGAAGGAAAGAGGTAAGAAACCCCATCTTTTACTTTCCCAAGGATATGAATCCCAGTTGGCACTTCCAAGTCCACAAGAGATCTGGTTCAGTTCAGTTCCAAAGTTTCAGTAAAACAAATTTAAAGCCAAATCAAAGGTCATTTTTTCCAATATTAGATCCAGCCATCTATATATACATACATACATACACACATACACACACACACACATATTTTTTTTAAAGGAAAATTATTCGTGTCTGAGGTCAAATTAGCCAGATCAGGTTCAATCCTTTTGAATCATCCAGGAACTGTATGTGGCCCTGCTACTGGCAAATATCCTCCACTCCAGCCTGGGGCTTCAGATACTTCCAAATCCTTTGGTAGGCGTCCTACATGCAGGCCCAAGCCCGGACTTGGGGTTCGGATGCCCCCAAGTTTAGTTTGCCCTCAGCCATATGGCTGTAGGAGCAAGCTAGGTTGGAGTTTCCCATTTCCACAAAGTTGTTGTGTAGCCGAGATCCTCCCACTGGAAGCTGGCCAGTGGGAAGCTAACTATGAGGCTCTCGTAGGGAGTCCCATCTGCAAGCAGACAAGGGTTCACCCTCCACTACACAAAGCCATTTCTAAGGTAGCTGCATGGTCAGGGTACTGTCCCCTGCCACCTTAGTGCTCACGGTATTTCCCCTGTCAGGTAAGTAAATATGGGGGTCTAGGCTGGAGGGAAATATAGAGAACTCAGCACATTCAAGACCTGCTGCCAATCTGTGTGCTGCCCTCCCACCTCTAGAGCCACAGGTGACCAAACAGACTTTGGGTTAAATGTTTGTTTTTGTATTTTGAAGTAAAAGCAAATAAAAGGTCAGCTGTAGACCTGTTTCTGTCTCTTTTATATCAGTAACCAGCCTACAAGGTTACCTGTAATATGTGTAACACACTCTTGTGGAGACGGCAGTCATGCTGGGGGCCTAAGAAGTTGTTTGAGCTGATTTTGTTACTTCTTGGTAATAGAGCCAAGCCAAGTCTGGACTCTACCAGCTGCCATAGCTGAACCTGTAGAGCAAACTGATAAAGGCCTGAAAGGCCCCACCCAGCAGAGGTACGAGACTCCTCCAAATGCAAGACTGATGTTGGCATATTAAATATTTAATTACATTTGCAATCAGACCTGTACAAGTTCCTTCCAGGAAAATGCTTGACACAAAATAAATGCCCGTAACTTGCCCATTAGTTGCAATTACCATAAACATGCTAGAGGAACTGACATCTGTCTGATAGGCCCCTCTTGAATGACAGCTGCCTTTCCATGTGTTCCAACTCCCCTTGCTCACTCACATAGACATATAAATGCTCAGGGAGCAAGGGCATTCGCTCCCAGTACCAGTGATTGCACTGAGATACAGACCCTCAAATTCACCTCCACTGCAGTCCAGTGGAAAATGCAGCACTGGCAGGCAGGCATTCAGGGGCTTTCATTTCCAATGCAAATTAATTTTTTACTGCTTTGTGGTTGAATACCATTAGTCCAAGTTACACAATTGTTACTACTGGCTATCAACACCACATGTTCCTTTCAGGTTCGGGCTTTGTCTTTTCCAGCCAGAGTCAGTTCTGCTGACACAGCCCAGCTTGTATCTTTCATTTCTACTGAGCTTATGCAGTTCTGGGAGGCAGGTGCTAATGTTAGCTAATCTCTGATCAACTGCACGGATGATATGAGGGGAAGAGGAACTCAGCTTCATTTTAATTCCTGAATTAAAGGCTTGATTCTGGTGGGTGTCTAGCACTCCCAGCTCCCCTTGAGCTCATAAAAAGGTGTGTTCAGCACCTTAGGAAGGCAGAAGGGGGAAAATTAAGTATTCCAGCACCCCCTCCCTTCTTAGTTAGTATCAGGCTGAGGCCGAGTAGCAGGATAGAAATATATGTACTGTTAAGGTCTGTCTATTAAGTCTAGGAGCCACTGAGAATTAGGGTTGGATGTAGAATGCAGCATCATTTCCAGAGAATCTTTTCAACCTACACCTGCTCTGCAGATGAAGGAGATAGCTCAAGGGGACGGATGGCCTCATCATTAGACAGGAGAGATTCCTTCTCCCCATACAAGCTTGCCCATGCTTCCACCAGAGCAGAATGCCAGGGTATCTTACTCGGGGGTGGGCTTCTTGCCTGCAGCACGCTAGCCAAGGGTGGAAAGTCATGGTGGCAGACACAAAGAGGAAGCATGGTAGAGGATCACTCCCAGAGGCAAGGAAGAGATTATTCTCTCTCTGTGGTGGAAGGGGGTGGGGTGGAATGACTTGCTGGAGGGTTGGGCAGAAGGACTGAACCCAGTCTCTTCACCCAGAGAGCAGCTGGGTATCCGTATCATACCTTCTGCAGGTGGCATAGATCAGCTATGCTCATTTCTATCTACAAAAGGGGAATTTGGGCTCCAGAACATTCATTTGTTCACAGCTGGGGACCCAGAGCTGGGGAGCAACGTGCAGCCATGTGCTAGCATGACCCACAGCTCCCAGCAGACAGAAGCAGCCCAAGACCTGGACTACATTGCAGCTCTGCTGGAAGAGCCATGAGTGCATCCACACTCCTAGCTCTCCTGTGATGGCAGGAGTCATTAGCTCTGCAAGCAAAGGCAAGCAACTGCTACCACAGGAAAGTTGTCAGGAAGTGGGTGTAGAGTTGTCTGCACTTTGTCATCTGCTGCAGCCCTGTTAACAACTGATCCTGCCCAGGGTACTCTGGGTGTCCTGCTGGTACAGCTGCTGCCATGGAGCTATATGCAGTCACATGAAGCTGCATGGGTTAGAACATGCTCTGATGGCTGCTATCTACCAGCAGAGTTTGTAATGCAACCAAGCCCCAAGACCAGGCAGGTGTATGGGCTAAGGGGATGGGTAGTGCCAAGAGGAAGAGAGAAGCCTGCTCCTTTAGGAGAAGTGCAGAGAGACCCCAACAGGCCATGTGCTCTTGTCCATTTGAATCCAGTGCTGGAGGGAGAACATGCTGGGTCAGGTTGGAGGGTCACTGGAGGGGAGAGATCTTCAGGGGAATCATGATTCGAGACTCCATGTTCCGAACAAGGGGCACTGAAAAGAAAAAAAAAAATCACAAAAAGCAACTATCAATGTGCATGACAGCCCTGGGCACAGGGCATTTTCTACCAACTACCCACAAGTAACTAGTGAGCTCAGAGCTATTCCAGTCTGTCCCACTAGCAGGCACTGAAAAATCATTTATATGCGACACATTCACTCTGGTCCCAGTCTCTGCCAGGAGATGAAGAGCAGTGCTGATTACAGAGGTGGTAGTGGCTGTCACATCAACTGAGTACCCGATCTCTGGCAAAGAGCAGTTAATGCTTAACACTTCATAGGAAGGTATAAATTCTGAACCACAGAATTGCTCTCTGATCCTAGCTGGAAACTGGCTTTGGCCCAGGGATGCGGGAGTTAAAACTTGTGGCTACTCTGTGCCCAGCACCAGCTACGCAAAAGAACAAGGCCCACCTGTGTAATACACATTCTCATCCCAGCCCCGTTTCCTCCAAGCTGCATTCCTCGTCTCCTCCCGAGACTGCAGGTCCCT